TTTAAAACTTCTGCATTTTCGTAGTCCTGACGATCCCGTGCAACGTCTACCCTGCCTTGTCCTGCCCGCAGCCCAGCGGGCACCATGTCAGCTCAGCGGGGGTCCCGGGGGTGTCAGAGCCCCTCAGGACAGGGAACACCAGCGCCACAAGGAGCTCTGGAGATCCCCAGACCCACCCGATGTCAGAGCTTAGTGTTTGCATGATGGATGTCCCTGTCCCTGCCAGGGGGGTTTCAGCTACTGGATGGAGGTCACACCACCAGCACACTGTCCCCCACAGAGGTGAGGAACTCCCCGTTCTGGCTTCCCAGGTCTGCTCAGAGTGGCTCAGTGTGGTGGGTCCATCGGGACATGGCTGCATCCAGACCTGGAGGTGACAGCTCCGTGATATCCATGGGGATGCATCAGCCTGCTCCCAGCACTACTCCATCCCACTCGTGGAGCTCCGGCACAGCTCCTGAAGGTCTGCAAAGCCGATAAGCCCCATTAGCAACCAATTAACCTAAAAATCAACTCTTTAAATAAACTTATGGCATCTGGTCACCTCCCATGGTCCTTATCCCAACAGAGTGATGTCTGACCAGCATCCCAGAGGATACTCACAGCGCAGGATGGTGTCCCTGATCTGCCTGAAGCTGTTCTCCTTCAGCGCCATGGAGATGTAGTAGATGTTCCGCAGCTCCTTGGGGTACTCCCTGCGATCCACGCCCCTCAGCACCGGGATGGTGCGCCCGTTGGCCATGGGGGCCTCGGCCAGCGCCTGGTGCATCTGGAACTGGCACCAGGGGTCCCTCAGGAAGGCGGGGGTGATGAGCAGGACCCAGCAGTGGCTGCCCCGCACGGCGTCACACAGCTCCGTGCCCAGCGCGCTGCCCGCCGCCGCGTCCCGCAGCTGCAGGAAACAGCGCAGGCTCTCGGGCTGCCCCTCCAGGTAGGACACCAGCTCCTCCACCAGCTCCAGGTCCTCCTCGCTGTGGCACACGCACACGTCGTAGCTCTTGCCCCACCGGGGGCTGTCCGAGGCGCTGATGTCCGGCACCAGCACAGGCGACAGCGGGATGGAGCTGGTGGCCGAGGAGCTGGAGCTCTTGGCAGAGGAGGAGGAGGAGGAGGAAGGTGAGGATGAAGCAGAGTGGCTGGAGTTGAGGCTGCTCTCCACTGAGCTGGGCTTGGGCTTGTGCAGGAGCCGCCTAAACCAGCCTGTGGAGTGAGACTGCAGTGAGGTCTGGGGGGCTCAGCAAGCCGTGGGCTTCCCAAGCACAGCAAGGCCAGATCAGCAGGATGCCTCCAGGTGGGAAGGGCTGGGCAGGATCTCACTCTGCCCCCCCAAAACCACCCTGGTCCCACAACCTCAGCTGCCACTGACACCTGGACGCTGTCACATCACGGAGGGGATGGAGCCAGGGTTTATTCCCACACTCACCAGCCATAGTGGGCAGCACGCTGCTCAGCTGCCGGTGGCCAGTGGGAATCCTCTCCTGGGAGCAGAAAAGAAGGATAAAAGACATATATGAGGAGAGCAGGAACGGTTCTGTGGTGGGTCTCATCCCCAGGAGCTCAGCAGGGTCTGTTCCAGGGAATGTAGAGCTCTGGGGTGTTCTCAAGTAGCCCCAAAATCACCCCCAGCAGGGTTTTCCACATCTGCCTTCCCAAACTTTGCTGTGAAGGAGCGTTTCCCTGTGCTGGAGATACACACCTGCAGCGAGCAAGGCCGAGAACCAACAGGCAGGAGAGACCCTCATTCCTGGCAGCGGGGAAAGGATCCTGTGGAAGGGAGAAGGATCAGCAGGGATGGACTGGCTGCTGGCAAACCAGAGACAGTGTGGGTGATGCCCAGAGCTGTGCATCCTTAATGCCATCTGCCATTCCTGCCTGTTCCCTGCTAGCTCCTGCCATCCCATACCCTGGCATCGTGCTCCCAGCACCGTTTGAGGTGCCCAGACCCTCCCCGAGGGAACCCAGGAGTAGCAACATGGGAAACAGCTGCTGTTTCCCACTGCTGGCATCATCCCTCCCAAAACTATACGCCCCAAGTCACACTGAAGCCTTTCCCCTACTCCAAGAACAGAGCAGGACTTGGAAAATGCAGCAGGATCTCGGCACAGCCATGGAAACCACAGTGCCACAGTATATCTGGAACAATGAGCGTGGACAGCGAACGGTGTGGGGAAGTTTGGGAGATACCCACCTGGAATGCAGGGGTCTGGCACCACAGCAGGGAAGGGGGATGCATCAGCCCCTGGGTTCGTCAAGAAAAAAGATCTGGGATTACCTAGGTGGGAAAACAGAGATAGAATGCAGTGTGTTCACTCTGGAGTCCGATGGGATCCGCAGTGAATGGCAAGGCTGATCCATCCTTACAGCTTCCACATCCAGAAGTGCTTCCCAATGAAACTGCCCCAAGGTGGAAGGGAGGACAGGGGCAGCCACCGGCTTCCCAGGGACAGAGTGGAGGAGCTTCCCCGTCTCTCCAGTGCCCGCTCCCCAGAGTGCCCCCGGCTGGCAGCAGCTCCAGCCTCGGCCGGGGCACGTGAAAGCAGGCAGGGGAAGTGAGCTGGGACCGCGGGGAGGGGAAGCCAGGCCTCCCCAGGGCCTCCCTCCCACATCCGCCACTGCCCTCACTGCCGGTGTGTCACCATGACCAGCCCTCCCGGCACCCGGACCCGCCCACTCCCTGCTTCCATGTCTGCCACTCCCGCTTATTTAAGAGTTAAATTTACCAGAAAAGGCATTTTTTTTCCCCAGAAATCCTCCCTGTATCTCTCCTTTCCCAGGTCACATCCGCCCGTTGCTGCTGGTGGCAGCCACTGCCTTCATCCCCTCATCACCTTCAACCCCTCCAGTTCCTCCTCCATGCCCTGGGGGAGACAGGCTCCAGGTGAGTCCTGGTGCCACCTTCCAGGGATTTGGGGGGGTCTCAAGAGCCTGCATGCCCACCCAGCTCCCTGACAGGATGTTCCTGGCACGGGGCTGCCCAGATGTGTTCCCCATGTCTCCCACGCTGCAGGACAACGTGGTGACCTCTGAGGAGCCTCTGCCCACCATGCCTGAGCTGGTGGCTGGGGGTGATCCAGGAGGTCTCCCACACCCCCTGTGACACCGGGAGGTGGGTGACTGGAGGTCCAGCCCCAGTGCTGAGCCTCTCCCACCTCACCTTGAATGACAGCAAAGCCCCCCTGACCTACAAGCACCTGCAGAGGCTCCTGGTATCCCTGGGACCTCTGGAGAAGATGGCCCTGGCACTCACACAGGAGCATCTCCAAGGTGAGCATGGGGAGGTCCTGAGCATGAAGATGGGTCAGCATTTCCCACTGTTCACCTGAAGCAGTGATGGCCATCACACCCTCACTGCACACAGTACTGTGACTGCAACTGTGGGGCCCCCACCCTAAAGGAGCTGGGCCAGGGCCCCACCAAGGTGGGTCCTCACCTCTACCCCAGCACAGCAAACCATGGAATCCCAGAATGGTTTGGGTTCAAAGGGATTTAAAGCTCATCTCAACTCATTCCACCCCCCTGCCATGGGCAGGGACACCTTCCACTTAGGCCAGGTTGCACCAAGCCCCATCCAACCCAGCCTTGGGAGACAGCAGCACTCACTTGACTCAACACATTCATGGAGAAGATGGTCAGCGCCCATCACCCACATTTCAGGGCTGCTTCACCTGCCCTCACCCCAAAATATGACCCCAGTGCCCCTCCATCTGCTTGCAGGTCAACTGGGATGACAAACCCCCACACCTCCATGCCTGGAGGCAACTGTTTCCTTCAGGGATAAACCCCAAGTTCTCTGACCTCCCCGAGGACACAGCTCGTCCCCTTGTGACCCATTTCCCATTAATCCCCGCCCTGACACTGCTGCCACCGCCCCAAAAACCAACTCCCTGCCCGAGGACACGGCCCAGAGGAGGGCGAGTCACCTGCCCGTGTGAGTCACCTCACCTGGAAACCCCCCCGGGCTGCCCCAGAGGGGGAACCTGAGCGAGGGTGAACCCACAAACCCAAGTCCCGACGGGCAGCGCCTCCACCTGCATCAGCGATAACATAACTATTCTTAAAGGAGTAATTAAGAGCAATTAAGCAGGCACGGCTCGATTCACAGCGTGCCTGGACCCACCAGCACCACGCTGAAATCCCTGCAGCACGAATTTCAGGTCAGTCATCACGGGGAGCCCGCGGTTTGCGAGATTGCCTGGGGAATTAGGAAATGGTGAAGACCGGGTGCTGCAAGGCAGGTGTTCGGGTGAGAAAATAAAGCCGATTTCCCCCCTAAATAGACGATCAACGTGCTTTCACTTCTGGCGCCAATACAAAGCGATGCGCAGCTACCCAGAAGCCAAAGAATAGCTTTTCTCCCTGGAAAGCTCCAAATACACCCAAATTCCGACACAGAGATGCCTGAAGGCATCGTAGCGGCCCCCCCAGGGCCGGGCACCACTTGTACCTCGCTGGGCTGGAGACGCTGTCGCGCAGACCCGAACGCAGACGGCGGCAGGTGGCTGAAGGGGTAACAGGGCACAGGGGCACCGCCAAGCCCACAACAGTTGTCCCAGGCAGAGGGGTCTAAATCGCGATACCAGACCCGGCCCCTCACACCACCACGCGGCCACCACCACCTCACAGCCCACGAGTGCATCACGCATGCGCCCGCCGCCTTTTATAGATCCGCGAAGCCTCGCGAGAACACCCGCCGTGTTTCCCACGCCGGATCCCGCCCCTTCCGCTGGGAGCCCATGGGTGGGCGGGGCGAGAGGGGGCGGGCCAATCGCCGCGGGGGGGCGTGACCGGGCGCGAGGCGGCTGCGCGCTGCGCGCGGCGCGGCGGCGTGTCCTCAATGGGGCCGCGCGCGCGGCGCCAGGTGCGTCCCGGGCGCGCGCGGCGGGGGTGGTTGCCATGGGGACGGGGCGGTTGCCATGGCGACAGCGGCCACCATGCTGTCGTGGGGGGGGTCCCATGGCCGCCGTGAGGGGACGGGGCGGCCTCGGGGTGGGGGGGCCGGAGGAGCCCGAGGGGGCCGGGGATGAGCCCGGGGGGACTGGGGGACCTCTGACGGCGCTGCGGATCGGTTGTGTCTACCTCCCCGCTCCGCGCCCTCGCTCTCTATAAAAGCCCGTTTTCATGGATGTTCCCCCTCCGGGAAGGAGCCTCGGCCTCCTCCCCGCCCGCTGAGTGCTCGTGTTGTTGCTTTTCCCGCAGGTTTAGCGAGGAGGGGGCGCGGCGGAGAGGACAGGTAAGGCCTCGGGCATCCCTGGCGGTGTGAACCCCCTGCCCGCTTCCCTTCCCGGAGTCACTCCTGGAAAGCCGGCGGGCTCCTGTGGGAGCTCTGGGATACAGAGCTCTGCCGGGCTTTGCTGTGTCACTCCCTCTCCTTGCCCATGGAAGCACGTGGAGGATCACAGCGTTGAATGAAAACCTCTGGTGTGTTTTAACTCGCACCCGAGGGGGCTGAACCTGGAGTTCTTGTGGCGTGGGAGGAGCAGGGCTTGTCCTCCTCGGTCCCACTGTCCCTGCAGCCTGTGCCCTTCTGGGGTGGTTCTGATCCACCTCCAATTGCAGATCCCACGTGGAGGGACAGAGCTTGGGAATTGGCCAGGGCCAGCCCAACTTCAGGCTGAAACATAGGGGGTCTAAACCATCTTATCCCAAAGCTGCTGGGTTGAGAAAGGAGCTCTGAATGACGCCCTCGCTGGTGGTGGTTCTGCTCAGCACTCAAAGAAGCTAAAAATAATGGATGAGCAATGGATTTGTACTTGTTTCTGTATGGAACTGGCAGGGGCTGCTCTGCAGGAGCCCATCTTCCAGCACAGAGCTGGATCACTTGGCTTCAGCTTCGATATCCAGGTGTAGCTTCTCTTTTGTTGGGTGCTGAGCGTGGAGGTGGTTTCGGCAGTGACTTCCCCATGAGGTGGTGGGGAAAACATCCCGTTAATTCCCCATTTCGGTTCTGCAGGTTGAGGGCTGTGGTCGTGTTTTGTACAGTTACAGCGGGGTTTTTGTAAATGAACACCCTGTGTGAGCCTCAGCCTTGGTTTGACACGCTGTGCTCAGGTATTTGCTTTTATCTGGGATACACCTGGAGATCCTGCAGCTGGATATGTTTGTGTCATACAGGGAGTGGCTGTGCTTGGGTTCACCCAGTGCTGGTGGCTTGGCCGTGGTTTAAAGCTGATGGTTCCTTTCTGGAAGTCTTTAGGATAAAGTAAGAGATTTGTGTAGTGTGGAGGGGAAGGAGAACCCTCTTAGTGTCCCTGGTAAAGGTGATGGAGACAAGGCTGGCACAGGGGAACGGGGCAGCTGAGCCAGGAATCCATGGAGTGTGATCTTTACAGACCCTGCAACTCCCTGTAGTCCAAATAGCTGGAAGGTTTCTGACATCTGGATAAGGCTGGAGAGACGCTTCTTATCTTGTAAGTGCCCGTGGCTCCCTCTCCTCCATGGCACCTGTGTTCCCAAGGGGGTCCTGTGGTACCTGGGGTGTTTTTCCCCATGGCAGTGCCAAGCTCTGAGGTAATTCCATTTAATTTTGGCTACCCCGGGTGTGTGGGCATGATCCATCTCCCTGGGGATCAGAGCTTCTCCCCAGGCCTGAAACCTGGAGGTTTCTGTTTCTTGGCTAAACCTTTATGGCTTGTTTTTAAGAGAAATAAGAACGTTTTTGGTTAGTAAGAGAAGTAAGAACTTTTTTTAGGCTGCATGTATAATGGATTTTTTTGTTCCTTTTTGGCTCTCTGCACTAAATAGAAATGAAGGTTGAAGGTGGTTATATCAGACAACCGTTTCTTGGTGATTATAATTCTAAAAGGTGTTTTTCCCTGAGTTCAAAATGACTTTTGAAGTGTCCTTATTGCTTTAGAGGCACTTAAAAACTGATTTGATGGCTCCACTCCTGCTGCTGATGGCCTGGGAATGCGTGGGGGGAGTGAGGTAGGAGTGGTGCTGAGGCAGGAGTGGTGCTGAGGCAGGAGGTAGCAAACAGGGGAAGGCCAGTTTACAAGCCTTGATATTTGAGGCTTAGCTGATAATTCACAACCCAAAGATAATATGAACTTAAATTATATCCAGTTTAGAATGTGTTCAGTGGTGTTTAAGGAGGCAGGGGGTGAAAACCAGCTCTCTGAGGTGTTTTAATGATTTATTATTGAGCAACCTGGCCTAGTGGAAAGTATCCCCCATGGCATGGGGGTGGAACCAGATGGGCTTTAAGGTCCTGTCCAACCCAAAACATTCCCTGATTCCATTGTGCAGTTTTCCAAGGTGGTCAGGAAGGAAAGGCTGCACACAGGGTGTGTCTGAGCATCTGCCAGAGTCTCTGTGCCCTGTTCTCATCCAGCGTTGAAAGCTTGTGGTTTCCTAGAATACTGGGATGATTTCTCATGGAATCTGTGTCACCTACTCTGCTGCTGGGGAGCAATCGCAGCACCTTGTTTGTAGGACAAACCCTCAAATCTGCCCCAAGGCTGCAAACCCCTGTGATTTTGGGGTCAGCAGCTCTCCCCCAGCGTTCCCTCTGGGCAAAAGCCTTGTGTCTCACAGAGTTTGTGCTGGACTCTTCATTACAATTGGCAAGAAAAAAAGCAGAGGAGGTTGAACAGCTCTGTCCGCTTTCGTTTCCTTTTCATAGACTTATTTGGGAGAAGCAGCTTGGGAGAGGACTGTGTGCTGGCAGGCCTTTTGTGTCTCGTGTCACAGGCTGTTGAAAGAGTTCTCAGACTCCACTTCCTTTCCGTGGGCTTTGAGGCCGTTTCCCAGCGCCTGCAGGCGCATGGTGGGCTGGGAAAGCCTTCCCTCATCACCAGGGAATGAAACACTCTCCGTGGCTTTTCGGAGCCAACAGAAATCTTTTTGTCTTTTCTTCCCTCCCACTGTTTCCCAAGTGGCAAGTTTGCTGACAGGCCTTGCTGGGAAAGAGGGGGAGCACTGCTCCGAGGTCTGGGCTCTCCGGTGAAACGCTGCAGTGCCGGGACAGATCCCACCTGGCTGTGCAAAACAGCCCCTGATTTTATGGTAAAGGAGGTGAAGGAAGTGGATGAGACAGTGGGGCAAAGTCCAGAGACAAAACTGTGCAATTCTCAGCCCAAAGGTGACCTGAGAACGATAACAAACCCGGGATTTATTCGCCTGTGCAAAGCTGGCTCCGCAAAAACCTGCTGTCCAGGTGGTGCTGTGGATGTGTAGTGACTTTGCCTGTGGTGATTTGTCTGCCATAGAAACTGGATGGCTTCTACGGTGAGCCTGGGCAAGGAAACCTTGTTGGAAGATGGAATGCCACCTGCAAAGAAGCCCAGGTAAATTTAATTATGCTCCAGTGAATTTCTCCCCACAAGAGCTTTTTCCTTTGCCTCGCTTTGTTCTTTAAGGATTGTGACCCCTGGCGCCCGCGGCCGTTTCGCTTCCCGATCCAAGAACCACGTGCTGACTCTGGCTGTGCCATGGGCCTCCTGTGGAACAAAGGCCTTCCCGCCCAGGATGTGCTTTTTTGGGAGTTTAACCCTCAGCCAGGGTGTGGGGTTGCCCTCAGAGCTGTGTTTTACTGTCCTGTCTGCACGCGAGGTCAGGTCAGACACGGTGGTTGTGCTCCTTCACTTGAGCTGGATGGTGGTTCCCAGGCAGTTACATAAATTAATGTGATTAAGCTGCATGTAAAGGCTGAATAACTGTGCTCTGGAGGCTCCCCGTGCTAAGAAATAGGTCGTGTTACAGTTCTGTGCGTGGGGACCTGAGTGGGGCACACCCACACTCCTGTCCAAGGCTGGGACTGGGGCTGCCGCGAGCTCAGAAGTTCAGGCATGAACAAGCAGCTAATTCATCTGGGGAGTTGTCTCCCGCTAATCTGACTTATTTATGAGCTCTGGAGGGCTGCAGGACCACACAGGGCTGTGTGGTCTCAAGGTTGTTCAGTGACCATGGAATGAGCAGAAAAGAGGCCGGGAGATTATTTTTCCCTTGCTCAGAATATCAGGGCAGAAACAAGTGTATTTGTCAGCAGGGAGTGGAATGCCTCTTTCAGAGATGTCATGCAGGACATTAAGACTTGGCTATTTGTTATTATTTTGGATTTCAGTCCCAGTCCCACTGGATTTCAGTGTTTTCATAGTAGCTCATTAGCATGAATACTGATTTATTCCTTGTGTGTGAGGCCTGCAGTCCCCAAATTAAACTGTTTATCAGCACTGACAGTGGGGCCCTCCTCGAGGAAAGGGTTAACGTGTCTGTTTTCACAGGCAGGAGCTGAGGGAAAGCAAAGCTCCATCTGTGTGGTGTCGGTTTCCTCTCCCCTTCTCACTAAATATCACGTGTTTGCTGATAAAACCCATTCCTTCCAAGTGAGCTGCTTCCCTGGGCTGCTGCTCCAACCCTCTGGGAAGCTGCAGCCAGGCCCCTGCTGCAGAAAAGCAGCTGGACACAGGGCAAGGCAAAGGCAAGGAGCAACACATCTGCTCAGTACATGACACATGTCACGTTTTAAAGCACTGTGCAGGTGTAAAGCCAGGAAAATGTGGAAGATGGGAGCAGGAGGAAGGAGAATACAGCCCTGCAGCTCTTTCATGTGACTCTGTATCCATCTGGGCTTCCAAAAGATTGGCCTGGAGCATCCCGCTGACATTGCAGGTGTCACAGGGAAGGGGTTGCTGGTGCAGTTCAGGGGGCTCAGCAAACAGGCTGGGAGGTGGGAAGGTCCCCTCCAGGGCAGAGCTGGGAGGAAGCCTTCCCTTCCTTCCTTCTGTGCTGGGATAGATGGGGCTGCTGTGTCCAGGCCTCTGTTCTGCACCTTGTTTGAACCAGGTGGTGTTCCCTCCCCATGTGAGTCCCATCCACACTTTGTCCTGGGATGTAGAGTGTGTGTGTCTAATTCCTTAGTGCTCACCACACCTTTCCCAGGGCCTCCAGCTTTCCCTCAAGCTTCCAGGTAACTTGTATTAACAAGACTTCCCTTATTCCAAATTCTCATCGGATTAACTTTGCTTCAGAAGCATCACTGACTTCCCCAGTAACCATCCCAGTAACAGACTGGACTTCCAAGTGTGTTGTAATTATATACCTCATGCTGTGAGCATTTGTGCTGCTGATCCATGAGCTGCATGCTGTCTTTTAGGGATACCGAGCTGCTCCTCTCATCCTTTGTTTATCAGAGGGTCCTAATGGACATGTTGACTCCAAATTCAGGCAGGGGGTACCTCCTTCACCCTCGGTTTGTGTGTCCCACCACCCCAGACACTCCTCCATCCATGGTGGTACCAGCTGTGCTCCTTTCTCCTCTTGCAGGAAGCTGTTGCCAAGCCTCAAAACCAAGAAGCCTCAGGAACTCGTTCTGGTGATTGGGACAGGAATTAGTGCTGCAGTTGCTCCCCAGGTCCCAGCACTGAAGTCTTGGAAGGGGCTGATCCAGGCCCTCCTGGATGCTGCTATTGACTTTGATCTCCTGGAAGATGAAGAAAGCAAACGGTTCCAGAAGTGTCTCCATGAAGACAAGAACTTGGTTCATGTTGCCCATGACCTTATCCAGAAGCTGTCTCCGGTCAGTTGTGCTGCAGCACTGCACAAATATTCCTTGAGTGTGGGATTTGGTTCTTGGAAATAGCCAGATTTGGTTCTCCAGCAATGGAGCCCCCATCCCCAACAATTGCTCTATGTACAAGGAGGTTGCTGTGCCAGGTTCCTGAGGCACAGCTCTGCTGTGGACACAGATTTGGGGTATTTCACCAAGAGGATCAGGGGATGGAGCCCCTCTGCTATGAGGAAAGGCTGAGAGAATTGGGATTGTTCAGCCTGGAGAAGAGAAGGCTCTGGGGTGACCTAATTGTGGCCTCCCAGTGCCTGAAGGAGCCAACAAGAAAGATGGAGAGGGACTTTTTACAAGGGCCTGGTGTGACAGGACGACGGGAATGGCTTCCCACTGCCAGAGGGCAGGGTTAAATGGGATATAGGGAGGAAATTCTTGGCTGTGAGGGTGGTGAGGTCCTGGCACAGGTTACCCAGAGAAGCTGTGGCTGCCCCATCCCTGGAAGTGTCCAAGGCCAGATTGGACAGGGCTTGGAGGAACCTGGGCTAGTGGAAAGTGTCCCCGCCCTTGGCAGGGGGTGGAGCGAGATGAGTTTTAAGGCCCCTTCCCACCCAAACCATTCTGGGATGCTGTGATTGTGCTGTGGGGGAGAACCCACCTTGGTGCAGCCAGAGCTCTGTGTTTGCCCTGCAAGGACCCAGAGCTTTGCAGGGTCTTGGAGAAACGTGGGTAGTTTTCCATGGGGTGTTTGGCACGAGGCGTTCAGGGCTCTGATCTCGGTCTGTCTCCCCTTCCCAGCGCACAAGCAACGTTCGCTCAACCTTTTTCAAGGACTGTTTATACGAGGTGTTTGATGACCTGGAATCTAAAATGGAAGATTCTGGGAAGCAGCTGCTTCAGTCTGTGCTTCACCTGATGGAAAACGGGGCCCTTGTGTTAACCACAAACTTTGATAACCTGCTGGAGCTGTACGCAGCGCACCAGGGGAAGCACCTCGAGTCTCTTGACCTGACTGATGAAAAGAAGGTAAAGGATGAGGGTTTCTTTTGTCAGGGCTATGCTTGGGATGCTGCACGATGTGCCCCCACACTGCCTGAGGGGATTGAACTGATAGCAATGGTTTTAACTGGTGTCAGACAAGCTCCAGGCAGAGGCAGCTGAGCAGAGGAATGGGGAGGAACGCTCCTTTCTGGAAGGCTGTGCTTTGCTTGCTGGCTGCCATCCAGTCCTCAGGAGGAGCCCTTCAGCCTGGTATTTCTTTGATCTCTGTCCTTGAAACTTTTGGCTTGGTCTTGCTTCCACATAAGGCTGAGTTTGATGTTTCTAACTGATATGGGAAACTCTGTGGGAGACACAAAGCTGAGCTTTCTATTTTTGTCATGTGCTGCAAAGTGCTTTTGGTGACAGAGCACGTTTGGGGCTGCAGCCTTCAGGGCCCTCTCTTGCCCTGTGCCTTCTTTCTGCAATGGCTGAATGGCTCGTGCTCCAGCCATGCTCTCAGAGCCAGAGGTGCTGACTTCACACAAATGTCCCTTCCTCCTGCCCCAGTCAGGCTGTGAAACCCTGAGCCATCTGCCCACTTCAACTTTTCATCGTGGGTTTTACTGGTGTGGAGCATCTTGTCCTTCTGTTGGCATGTTAAACGTACCCCAGGTGTGTGTGCTGTGCAGCCCTTGGTCTCTTTCCATTCTGACTCATTTCTGTGCTTCACGTTTCCTGCATGACCTCTTAATCTACATGGCTGGAAGTACTTACAGTGTTACAAATAAGCATTCTAATTACTGCAAGCTTAAACGAGCTGAGGTCTGCAGGAGTAAACTTAGAGCCTGGGAAGTGGCTGTCTGAAATGGAGGTCAGCTGGTGAGCTCCCTCAGAGCCCAGAGGCCAAGAATAAAACTTTGTAGGCTTGAGAAACACACTGACTTAGGATTTATAGGGGGGGTTTTTCCCCTTTTTTCTGCTGGAACTGGTGTATTGATTCGTTGTCTTCCCATTGCACTGTGTTGTGCAGGTGCTGGAGTGGGCACAGGAGAAGAGGAAGCTCAGTGTCCTGCACATCCACGGCGTCTACACCAACCCCAGCGGCATCGTCCTGCACCCGGCCGGGTACCAGAACGTGCTGCGCAACACCGAGGTCATGGTGAGGCCACAGGGGGTCCTGGGCCTGGTGTCACCCGGGCACAGGCTCAGCTGAGTTAGGGCTGAGGGTGGAGGAAGAATTAATTCATTTTGGGAAGTAAGAGGGGTGGATCCTCTAGCCTGCCAAGGTGCCAAAACACCTCCCCACGCTTGTGTTGGGGGTGACTTAACAATGGCAATGCTGCAGAGCCTCGTCAGGGATAAGGCAGGTGCTGTCTCTTGTGAGGATGAAGCTCACCTTGACCAAAAACATCTTTCCCTTTCTTAAAGCGAGAGATTCAGAAGCTCTATGAAAATAAGTCCTTCCTCTTCTTGGGCTGTGGTTGGACTGTTGATGACACCACGTTTCAGGCCCTGTTTTTAGAGGCTGTCAAGCACAAGTCAGACCTGGAGCACTTCATGCTGGTGCGGAGGGGGGATGTGGATGAGTTCAAGAAGCTCCGTGAGAACATGCTGGACAAGGGGATCAAGGTGATTTCCTACGGGGACGAATACGCCGACCTGCCCGAGTACTTCGAGCGGCTGACGAGCGAGATCGCCATGCGGGGCCGCACAGGTACGGGGGCACGGGCTGAGGGGACACTTCACAGTGTTCATAGCCCCTGTTCTCCACACTCTATGGAGATTCCTTAAGCCTTTTTCTTTTTTTTTTTAAAAAAGCCTCCAAGCGTAGCTGTATTTGGGGTCTTTTATGAAGTCACTGCGTTCCGACAGTTTGAACAGCTGTGCTGCTTCCCACGCCTCCAAACTTGGCTTTTCATGTGCAGCTGTTTGTTCCCTTTCTACTGAAGGGCCATCTCAGTCTCGCTGACCTTCACACTGCTCAGCCCAAGCCAGTGCTTTAACGTGCACACAGAAATCTTAAAAATGGGGGAAAGTGGGTTTGCTGGCCAGAGCCTTGCTGGCAGCTGTTCTGAGGGTTAAACCGCCCCGGGGGCAGCTGGCTCCCACAGGGGCTCCCCACAGTCACCTCCACCTGCCCCTGCTCTCTCCTCTCCCCCAGGTGTGCCCAAGGAGGGGCAGCAGCTGAACGGCTCCGCGGCTGCCCATGCTGAGAGAAAAGGTAAGGAAGGCTCTCCCAAGCCAAGCCTTTGTCCTGTGTGACTCCCTGGAGTCCCAGGAGGGTTTTCAGCCTTTGCTTCCCCCCAGGATGCAGCACCTGAGCCTCAGCCCTGCCCTGAGCCGTGGGGAGCTCCCAGGATGGGCCCAAGCCAGGCCAGCAGCCCCAGGGGGGCCAGAGCCCATGGAGCCAGGACCCTTCCAGCAGGGAACAGGCTGGGCAGAGCCTCCTTGGACAGACACCTGGTTTAACGTAGCTCATCGTGGTTCTGGGGGGGCTGCGAGTGCCTGCGGAGCGCGGTGCCCCCGAGGGAGCTGCAGCCTCCTCTGATTTCATACCTAGTGCTTTTATATTCTGTACTCCAATTTTCAAAACAATGAAACTTGAGCTTTTTTTTTTTTTTTTTAACTGGAAGCTCTAGTTTTCTAGTCCTGTCTTTATACTGTACAGTATTTTGTATGTTGAAGTTGTATTAAAGGCCTGCTCACTGAACTTTTGGCTGGTGTGTCATTGACAGGCCCTCTCACACCTCACACTGGTGGGATTTCTTCTGCCCCCAGCCCAGGAGGAAACCGGTCCTGGCTGGAGGCAAGTTATTTATACACAGAGAACAAATTATGAAGTTTATTTTATACAAATCATGTCTCTTAGCAGACAGCATTCAATTTATTGCACTAGAGCACATCTGCAATACAGAGCTACAAGACATTGTCAAAGAGTTTTGTATTATTCAGTGTAGCACTTCCAGCCGGGATCAAGAGGCACTCAGAGGGGGGAGAAAGGGTGCAGGAAAGCAGCAAGCAGCCACCATTCTCTTCCAGTACTAATGTGGTTTGGTTTATTTCGTTTTTACTAGCAGGTACCGCTGAGGCCAGTGGGCAGGAGCCAGGCCTGCTGCCTTCCCCCTCCACACCCGGCTGCCGCAGCTCTCCAGCTCCTGCCCAAATATGTGGTGTCTGGGGACCCTGGAGTCCTAGTGAGGGCAGAAATGGAGGACCTTAAGGCAATTTAGCATTTCCCCTCCAGCCCAGCACAGGCTGTTGCCATTTTTTTTTTTTTGGTTTATCAGCTTCAGTGGAGCTGCTGCGAGCAGCAACATTAACAGCCAGGTCTAACACTGCTCCTAAGCCAAAGTCCCTCCTGCCTCCTCCCTAAGCTGGCCTAGAAATCAAAAGCAGCTCAAAAAATGCCTTGAAACCCTCCAAAAAGCACAGCAGGCCCTGGCACCGCCCACCCCCCGTGCAGCACGAACAATACAAAGCTCTGGATTCGGCCTCCCCGCCAGGGAGCCTGCGTCACTGGGAAAGAATGGAGGAACCCAGGGCAGGGCTTTTGCTGGATAAAAGGGGCTTTATCCAAGAAAAGTACCCCTCATGCTGGTGTTCCTTCATTCTGTTCTGCACTACACGGGAAGGACTAGTCGGTGACGGGGTAAAGCATGTTCTTCTGGGACATCTGCACACAGCGGTTTGTGGCTCAGGCCTTCATGAGCGCGGCGACCACGGCCTTGGCGTTAAGGCTGCGCAGATCACAGTAGGTTTGTCCGGTACCAACGAACACGATGGGCTTGCTCGTGATGTAGGTCATGGAGATGGCGGCGCCGACCTGCCAGGGACAAGCGTGCAGCACCTGAAACCCGGCACTTCCCCCTCGGGAAGCTCATCACTCGTCCCCCACATGGTGAAACCACGCCGCTAAATTTGGGTCAAAAGCAAGAGGGAAGCACAGGAGCATCCCGTGTTCGACCATTCCCGCCTCTCCCCTCCAGGCACCATCCAGCAGCTCTGTGCAGAGCCGCCTCAGCAGCCCCCTTACCTTGTCGTCGATGGTATCAAACTTGGTGAGGACGATCCCGTCGATGAGCCGCGGCGTCTGGGCCATGGAGTGATCAGCCAGAGCCTTGTTGAACTTGACCTGAGGGACAAGGAGGATCCAAGAAATGCAGTTGTGGTGCTACCACTGTAGAGCCTACAGAAACAGGGTTTTTCCTGCATCTCTCAGGAACAAAACCCTCCAGGTGCTCACCAGCTGATCCACAGCCTCGTTCCCCACCAGCGCCTCCCCGACAAACAGGACCAGGTCGGGCGCGTTGACGGCGATGAGCTTGGCCAGCGCGGTCATGAGGGGCGCGTTGTCCTGCATGCGGCCGGCCGTGTCCACCAGCACCACGTCAAAGCCCTGGTTCCGCGCTGGGGGGACGGGGAAGGGCCATGAAGGACGGGGGGGCGGCGTGAGGGACGGCGGCTCCCCCCGCGCCGCACCTACCGTAGGAAATGGCCTCCATGGCAATGCCGGCGGCGTCCTTGCCGTAGCCCTTCTCGTAGAGCTGCACCATGGTGCGCCCGCCGTGGCTCTCCGGGGGGTGCAGCGCGTTGAGGCGCCGGGTGTGGGTGCGGAGCTGCTCCACGGCGCCCGCGCGGAAGGTGTCGCAGGCGGCGATGAGGACGCTGAAGCCATTCTCGATGAGCCAGAACGAGATCTGCGGGTGGCAGCAAATCAAACGTGTTGGCAGCCACAGCCTGACCCCATCACGCCTCTCCTGTGATCCAGGAGGGTCCTGCCCTACCTTGGCCAGGTTGGTGGACTTCCCGACGCCGTTGACGCCGCAGAAGGTGACGACGTAGGGCCGGCGGTGGCGCTGGGCGTCCATGACATCGCGCAGCACGTCCACGCGGCGCTGGGGCTGCAGGATCTGCACCAGGGCCTCCTGCAGCGCCTGCTTCACTGTCGAGGTCACCGCTGGGGAGGGGTGGGGGGGATGGAAAGAGGACCAGTCATGCCTGGGGAACACTCCCGAGCTCCAGATCACACACAGGAGGCCACACAGACACTTACTGGTGAACGTTCCCATCACCTTCCCTTCCAGCTTCTTGGCCACGGACTCGCAGAGCTGCACGGCGATCTCGGCTGCCACGTTTTTAGCTTTGAGAGAGAGAGAGTGGGGAGTCAGCACTGCCAAGGTTCCACGTGCCAGACATCGGCATCAACAGAAGCACGGAGCCAGTGCTCAGGATCCCCACCGGACCTGACCACTGCCCCCCTTGTGCCGCACTGTCAACAGGTGAGACAGAAACCCACTACAGTTCCTGTGGGCAGGAACATCCCAAACCATCGGTGTCACCCACACCAGGGCCCACCCAAAAGAGCACGAGGAACCATGTCACTGCAAATCCAGACGTACCGATCAAGTGATCCTTCATCTTCTCCAGCACGGGGTCCATGTCCTCTCTCGTCAAGCTCTTGGAGCCCACCAGCCCCTTCAGCATGCCAAACATGCCCCCCAGGCCACCCTTCTTCACGCTGCAGAGAAGCAGAGGAGGTACCTTGAGGTTTGAGAGCAAGTTGCAAGCGGACAAACACACCGGTTTGCCCTTCCTGCATTACTGGTTAGACTGGAGGAGGAGTCACAGGAGAGAAATCAAGGCCCATGTGACAAGCAGGGGCTGTGGGAGCCTCTACCTGGGTTTCGAAGTGTTCTGGACAACCTTCTCCTCCTCGGCTTCGTCCTCACTCTCATACTCCAGGTCATAGAGGCGCCCAGGCTCCCGATTCTTGTCCCCCAGGGCCTGTGAGGGGGAGAAGTGGCTTTAGGGGCTGAGTGCCAAGATCTCTGTTTGATCCCTTCTCATCCAGCCGTGGAGACCAGGCTGGGTTCACAACGCCCAACTGAGCCCAGAACAACACAGAGTGCCCAGAACAACGTGGACTGCCCTGATTTTCCCTCACCATGTCGGGGTCAAACTCCTCCACAGGACAGGCCTCGGCGCTGCCGTTGGTAGCGGAGTTACTGTAATCGAGTACTTTGGCATTAGAGTTCCCCAGATCCCACACCCGGGGCTTCTTCCCCTTCTCCTTCTGTGCGTCAGGCTTGGGAGATCTGAGGAAACAAAAGAGCAGGACACGCCTTGTGTTCGGGGCAGGGGAGCAGAGCTGTCGCCTCCTCAGAAGGTGTGAAAAATAAAAGCCTGCATTACCCAAAAAGACAGAAATTAAGGCTAAACTTGGCTGATTTGGTCCCCAAAGTTCATATTTCTGAACTTTAACCCTGTATGGCACCGGTTCCCCTCAAGCCAGGCATTGATGCATCACTGCTGTCTGCTCACTAAAGACAGGTCTGGACCTCTCCCAGGCACATGCTGGGTTTCTGGGTCTCTCCCAAGCTCTATTTCCCCTTCAGAACCCCCAGCTGCCCTCTCCCAGTCTTTCCAGCAAGGAGAGACATAAGGAAAAGGGAAATAAGATCCAGGAAAGCGAGATCTGACTTCCAGGGGTCACCAAAAGGAGAGACTCAGCCACAGTCTGGTTCAAAGCACAGGCAGACTGACAGTGCTCTCATCACGCACTTGGACTTCTCCCCGGCTTTCATGTGTCTCCTGAAGAATTCCTCCCGGTTCTTCTGCAGGATTTCATCCTTGGTCAGCTCCTCCTTGTCCCCTGCTGCCGAGGGCTGTTTGTCACCCCCGGATGCTTTACTGGGTGCTGCAGCAGCTTCAGTTCCTGATGGGAAGAGCCCCCACACGAGCTTAGACCAGCTCCAAGCAGGCTGGGAAAGCACAGGCTCAACACAGAGCTCTGGAATATTCCCCCCCCCCAGTTTATCTTCCCCATGAACTCACCCTCTTTTTTGGAACCTTTGTTCTTCTTGTTCTTGACCTTCTCCTTTGGTTTCTCCCCCCGGGTTTCAATCATACACTTGACAGTCTTCTGGGATTTCAGAGACTGCTCAAACGTCTTCATTACCGTGGGAGCTCGGACTCTGCTGCTCTCCTCTGCATCCCTGTGGGAAGGTGACCCATTAGCCTGGATTCCAGCTCTTTTTCCCCCTCCCAACTCTGCTCAAAACAGAAATTTAACACAAAAAGCAGGCTGTGGTACCGGAGGAGGCGCATGAAGTCATCTTTAAAATCAAAGGTGCCATTTAGGAGGCCCAGGGCCCCTTTCTGCTGGAACTCATTGCGGTACTTGTCTCTGAACTCCTTGTGGACATCGTCTATCAACTTGTCCACGTAGGTTAGAGTCAGGATCTTCTGGAAACCCACCTGCCAAGGGGCACAGCCAACAGACACTGCACTCCCAGCTCATTTAACAGCAGCAAGGGAGCAAAAACCTCTCTGTTTAACTCAGAGTAGGCAAGCTCCAGGCTGCGCTTTCTGCTCCGCTTTCCCAAGCCTTTAAAATGCCCCCAAAAAGGTAAAAAACAGCCCAAAGGCAGCACCAACACACACAGGCTGCCTTGTGGCAACAAAGACACGTAGCACAAGGGCAGAGAACCTTTTGTTTATCTCCAAGTCCACAGGGAAGCTTTTGTGGATTTATGGAGATAAGGAGCGGGGAGACTGAAAGGGAGAGTGTTAAATGCTCTGTAAAGAGGAGGGGGCAACACATTTCTGGGGTTATTTTTAAATAGCTCTGGAAAAAGTGAAGTTTCATGAGGCTGCAGGTTCTATTTGAGGTTTGGTTAGTTTTAATCCTGTTGCAGACGATTAAAATAAGCTACTCCCACAGCGGTGAAGGGCTGGGAGACACTCGTGCCCACCCTCCATGGGGAGCCTGCCTGTGCTGGGGGCACTGCTCAGCCCCTCTGAGACCCTCCCAGAGCCAGGAATGGCAAGACCCTCACCATACCCCCCAAAATCCCAGAGCCAGAGGAGCCAACCAGTCTAGGAGCCGAGGTCCAGCCCCAGGCAGTGGGAACAGCTGTTTGCCCAAACCACAACACACTGGGAATTCTCCCCTCTCTGTTCTGGGACAATCCCCCTCCCTCAGTTCTTGGGGCACCCCAAGATGCTGGAGGAACTCCCCTGCCATGCTGGGGGTGCCTGAGGGAGGGTCTCTTACCACAAACACCAGCTCAAACTGGTTGTCCAGTTTGTACTTGAGCGTGAGGGCCTCATGGGTGAAGGAGTTGTTGCCTCCTCGCTCCTGGGGGAGAGGAGCTGTCAGAATGGGGGTGCCAGCAGCGTGGAGACCCCCCCCTCATTATCCCTGCCACCCCCCCTCCTCAAAAGTGGTCCACATCATCCCTTACAGGTGATCCCACACCCCCCTGGGCAGGTGGCCCCATCCTTCCCCCTCAACTGGGTGATGCCACCGACCACCAGAGGTGATTGTGCCCATGTCCCTCTCCAGACAGGTGGTCCCACCTGTTCCTCCCTCACCCCAACAGGTAGGTGGTCCCAGTCCCTGCCCCCTCTTCCCCCCCTCACCAGTTGTGTGGGCTCACCTGAACCCCCTCTCCCCACTTAGGTGGTCCCCCCAAATCACCCTCCCCAATTATGTGCTCCCACTCCTCCCCCTGCCCCAGGTGGGTGGTCCCAGTTCCCTCCCCCACAACCAAGTCCACGTTCTCTCTTATTCTCCCTCTTCCCAGATGGTCCCAACCCCATCACCCTCTCCATAGGTGATCCCACCCCCCCATCAGACCAGTGGTCTCACCCATTCCCCCCCCAATTAGGTGGTCCCAGTCCCTGTCCACTCCCCCCTCCCAGCTGTGTGGGCTCCTCTGGCCCTCTCCCCCCCAGTTAGATGGTCCCACCTCATCACCGTCCCCAGTGAGGTGGTCCCAACACGCCCTCCCTGGTACACTGCAACCTTCTCTCCCTCCCCAAGTGGGTGGTCCCAGTTCCCCCCCAGCAACCCGGTACATGGTCCCTCTTATTCTTCTTCTCCACGGGTGGTCCTGCCCCATCACCCTCCCCAGTTAGGTGGTCCCACCCGTCCCCCTCCCCAATTAGGTGGTCCCACTCAATCGTCCCCCAAAATTAGGTGGTCCCAGTCCCTGTCCCCTCCTCCCCCCGCCAGATGTGTGGGCTCACCTGACCCCCCTCCCCAGGCAGGTGGTCCCCTCCAACCACCGTCCCCATAAGTGGTCCCACCCCTCCCCTGCCCCAGGTGGGTGGTCCCAGTCCCCCCCAACCAGGTACACGGTCTCCCTTATTCTCCCTCACATGCTCCCAACCCCATCACCCTCCCCACAGCTGATCCCACCCTTCCCTCCAGACCCGTAGTCTCGCCCATTTCCCCCCCTCCTCAAACAGGCAGATGGTCTCGCCCACTCCCCCCCCTCCTCCGCTGCCACCCGCGCCGTTACCCCCCCGACCCCGGGACCTGCAGGAGCACGGAGCGGATGAGCGCGTTGACGGGGGCGGTGGCGGCGGGCCCGCGCACGCCCTGGAAGCACCAGAGGACGAGGCCGCCCTTGCTGAAGATGGTGAAGAAGTCGAGCATGGCGGCGCCGGGCCCAGCCGGGCGCACACGTCGCTCTGCCCCGCCCTTCCGCCGGAAGCCACGCCCCCTTAGCCCTGCGCGCGCGGGGGCCAAGAGGGGCGTGGCCGCGTGGAAAGGGGGCGAGGCCATGTCGCAGGTTCGACACCGAGCCTGCTTTGTCAGACGAAGCCGTGTGTTAGTCTTACTGCTTCAGCTGGAACTGGCCTTCCACGGACAGCTGGATCATTGGAATTAAATCCGGGAAAGCGCGCGGGGGCCGAGGGGGGCGTGGCTACAAGGAGGCGGGGCGTGGCTAAGGGAGAAAGAGGGCGTGGTTGCGGTCGAAAAGGGGCGTGTTTGCGGCGGAAAGGGGCGTGGCCATGCTGCGGTGCGGACGCGTGTTGGGGCAAAGGGCGGCGGGGGGGGTGAGACCCCCATGGGGGGGACACGGGGGGACCCCCCGACAGGAGGGGGGTCCGAGCAGAGCCCTCCGCACTGCGGCACCGCGCGGCGCCGACTTCTTCCGCGGTGAGGGACGGGGATGGCAACGGGGAGGGAGCAACGGGGGGGAAAGGGGAAGCGGGGATTGAGGGCTGGGGTCCGCAGCGGGGATTTGGGGGGAGGGAGGTTCAGGGGAAGTGGAGGGGTGTGTTGGGATCGCTGGGAATGAGAAGGGGGTGAAAGGAATGCGGAGTCCCAGGGAATGAGGGGCTCCCGGAGTGTAGGAGGTCACTGGGAATGAGGGGCTCGCTGGGGGGGATGGAGGGGTTATGGGGGTATATGGGGTGGTCCTGGGGGGAATGGAGAGGGGGTCGGGGTGTGTTGGGATCGCTGGGAATGGGGAGGGCGTCAAAGGGATGGAGAGTCCTGGGGAATGGGGGGCTTGCTGGGAACGGGGGGGTTTCTGGGAATGGAGGGTCACTGGAAATAGGAGAGTCGCTAGGATGGTTTTGGGGGGGTCACTGGGGGAATGGAGCGGAGGTCGGGGTGAGAATGGGGAGGGGATCAAAGGAATGTGGAGTTCCAGGCAATGTGGGGGTCCCAGGGAGTAGGAGGTCACTGGGAATGGGGGGCTCGCTGGGGTGGTTGTGAGGGTATGTGGGGAGGGGTGGGTCCCGGGGGCAATGGAAGGTTTATGGGGGTATATGGGGGGTCCTGGAGGGAATGGAGGGGGGATCGGGATATGTTGGGATCCCTGGGAATGGGGTGGGGGGAGGGTCAAACGGATGGAGGGTCCCAGGGAATGGGGAGGTCACTGGGGTTGGGGGATTGCTGGGGTGTGTGGGCTTTACGAGGGTATATGGCGGGGTCCCGGGGAAATGGAGGGAGGGTCGGGGTGTGGGATCGCTGGGAATGGGGAAGGGGCCAAAGGAATGCAGGGAATGGGGGGGTCCCAGGCAATAGGGGGGTCCAGGGGATGCAGAGGGAACTGGGGTGGTCCCAGAGGGAACTGGGTTGGTCTCAGGGTGTGGAGAGGATACTGGGGGCTCTGAAAGGGAACTGAAGTGGTCCCATGGGATGCAGAGGGTACTGGGGTGGTCTCAGAGGGAATTGGGGTGGTCCCATGGGATGCAGAGGGTACTGGGGGCTCTGAGAGGGAACTGAGGTGGTCCCAGGGGATGCAGAGGGAGTTGGGGTGGTCCCAGATGGTACTGGGGTGGTCCCAGGGGATTCAGAGGGTCCTGGGGTGCCCGGAGGGGCTGCCAGCTGTGCCCCCCAGGCCTGGCAGCCCCCCCATGTCTCAGCAGAGCTGGGGCAGACCCTGGAGCGCATGGGGCAGACCCTGAGGGATCAGGTGCCGGCGGCAGGGAGCGCCTGGGGGGGCTGGCTGCCCCCGGGCATCCACCCCGACCCCCGGCCCCCCGACGAGGCCGATGTGGTGGTGGTGGGGGGCGGCGTGGTGGGCTGGTCCGTGGCCTACTGGCTGAAGGTGCTGGAGGGCCGGTTCCGGCGGCACGGGATGAAGGTGCTGGTGGTGGAGCGGGACCCCACGGTGAGACACCCCCTCCCGGGGCAGGGTGTGACCCCCCCTGAGCCCCTGTTAATTGCTGGGGGGGTCCTCCCTGTCAGTATTCCAGAGCCTCCACGGTGCTGTCGGTGGGGGGGATCCGGCAGCAGTTTTCCCTCCCAGAGAACATCCAGATGTCCCGGTTCTCCGCCAGCTTCCTGCGTGACATCAATGTATGTGGGGCTGGTTGTGTGAGCCGGGGGGGTGGTTTGGGGGGTCCCAGCCCTGCTCACCAGGGTCCTCTCCTCTCCTCACAGGAGCACCTCGGGGTTCCCAACGAGCCCCCCATCGACATCCAGTTCCAGCCCTCAGGATACCTGTTCCTGGCCTCCCCAGAGGATGCTGCCAAGCTGGAGGCCACTGTCCAGCTCCAGAGGTGGGGGACACACACAGGCCCCCCCACAGGGGGGATTTTGGGGAAGGTGGGGGTCATCCGACCCCCCCTCCACCTGCTGGCTGTTCCCAGGGATGAAGGGGCACAGGTAGCCCTGCTGTCCCCCACCCAGCTGAAGGAGAAATTCCCCTGGATAAACACAGAAGACGTGGCCGTGGCATCCTATGGTATGTGGGTGTGAGGACCCCCCCTTAACACCCATCCTTAACCCCATAACCACCCTATATCCCCACCCTGCTGGATGCTTCCTGCATTCCTGGCTTTATTTATGGAAGGGGAGGTCCAGCCCCCCCCAAACTGCATTTTTAGGGGGGAGTCACACCACAGTGTCCCCTCCCTCTACCTATGTCCCCCCCAGGCCTGGAGGATGAAGGCTGGTTCGACCCCTGGACCCTCCTCAACGCTTTCCGGCGCAAAGCCACGTCCCTGGGGGTCCACAGCTGCCGCGGGGAGGTGCGAGGTGAGGAACGGTGGGGGTGGGCACTGGACCCCACTGGGACCTCCACGGGGGACCACCACCCCCAGGAACCCCCACCTTAACCCAAAACCCTCCAGCTTTTGTCACCACAGCCAATGACCCAACATCGTCAGCAGCAGAGTCCACGCGCATTAAATACGTGCACGTGAGTGTCTGTGTGTGTGTGTCTGTCTGTCTGTCTGTGTGTGTGTGTGTGTGACCCCCCCAGAACTCGTGGGTCCTCCAGGAGTGTCCATGACAACCCCTCTGCCCCATCTCCATGTGGGGTCTGTACAGGTTGAGCACGTTTTCTTTCTAATTCACGAGGACCCTCCCCCGAAGTTTGCCAGAGTTAAAGACCCCCTTATTGCGAATGAAGGCCTTGCATGAAGCAAAGTGTGGATCTTGATTCTGTGCACAGGCTGCACTGGGGGCATTATTTGGGCTGCCCAAGTCATGGCAGCTGCCCCAGGAGGAAGGAAGATCACGTGTGCTGTTTGGAGGGGTTATTCAGGGTGGCAGTCACTGCTGGGATGTCTGCCCTCACTCCCAGCCTTTTCTGAGAAATGTTGAGGCAGCTGAAATGTTTATCTGGTTGTGTGTGGTTTACGTAGGTTTATGAAATGAGAAGAGAGCTCACAAAATTCCTGCAGTGGCAGGAACTCTGTCCAAAGCAGGCCTGTGCTGTATCAGGTGGCTGGAGGGCCGATGATCCATGACTCTTCACAAGTATTTCAGTTATCCCTGGGAATTCCTGCGACAGGAGACCCAGAAAGTGGACCTTGGCCACCTGGACAAAGACCTCAAGCCTGAACTACTACAAAAGTAGTTCTGCTCTTGGCCCTGCATGTGATCCTGGAACAAAACACTCCAAGTCTGTGCCCACTCCTCACAGATCTACATGCCAGACAGCCTGGAGTACCAGCCTGTCGCCTGCTCCATCGTGGTCAACGCCGCAGGCGCCTGGGCCGGGAAGCTGCTGGAGGCTGACGGGCTCCCCAGGAGGCTGTGCCAGCCCCCCCTGCCCATCCAGCCCAGGAAGAGGTATCTGGGGGGCCAACGAGGGGGGCACAGCCTGGCAGTGCACCCTCTGTGGTGGGTCAGAGTGGGGGCACATCCCAGCACCTCTCCTTTTTCCAGGGAGAGTGAACCCCTTGGTGCTATTCTGGGGGGGCACCTCAGCACCCACCACCCCTCTGTGATGGGGGGGACTCCTCAGGGGTTTTTTTGGGGAGCAAGGGGGGTCATCCTGGCACCCAGCACCCCTCCATCTTCAATGGAGTGGAGGGATGGACCTCCTTGGTGCTTTATTTTTGGGGTGGGGGGCTTGCATCCCACCATCCTCCAAACTCAGGGAGGGAGGGTGAACTCCCTTAGTCTTTTTTTTGGAAAGGTGGTGTTGCATCTTGGGGGTCCCATTGTCCCTCCAGTGCCCCCAGCCCCAGTACTCCCATTATCCCTCTCGTACTCCCAGTCCCAGTGTCCCCATTATCTCCCCAGTGTCACCTGTCACCCCCCCCCCCATTGACCCCAGCCTCAGGATCCCCAGGATCCCCCCAGTATCCCCAGTATGTCCCCAGTGTTCCCATTATTACCCCCTCAGTGTTCCCAGGCCCAGCATCCCCCCAAGTACCCCCATTACATTCCAATACCCCCCAGTCCCAGTGTCCCCAGTACCCCCATTATCCTCTCAGTATCCCTCCATGCTCCCATTATCCCTCCACTGCCCCCAGTCCCAGTGCCTCCATTATCCCTCCACTGCCCCCAGTCCCAGTGCCTCCATTATCCCTCCACTGCCCCCAGTCCCAGTGCCTCCATTATCCCTCCACTGCCCCCAGTCCCAGTGCCTCCATTATCCCTCCACTGCCCCCAGTCCCAGTGCCTCCATTATCCCTCCACTGCCCCCAGTCCCAGTGCCTCCATTATCCCTCCACTGCCCCCAGTCCCAGTGCCTCCATTATCCCTCCACTGCCCCCAGTCCCAGTGCCTCCATTATCCCTCCACTGCCCCCAGTCCCAGTGTCCCCATTATCCCCCAGTGCCCCCACTCCCAGCCCCTCCATTGTCTCCAAGAGCAACGTGACCCCTCCATGTTATTTTTTGGGGCGTCCCCACATCCCACCCCTAAGATGGGGGGCAGGGGCAGCACCCCTCACCCTATTTTTTGGGGGGTTCCCCAGGTACGTGTTCTGCTGGCACTGCCCAGACGGCCCTGGGCTCTCCTGCCCCTTCCTCGTGGACACCTCGGGCGCTTATTTCCGTCGGGAAGGGATCGCTGGGAACTACCTGGGCGGGATGAGCCCCCCCGAGGTGAGCCCAGAGGGGTCCCCCAGGTCATTCACCCCCCTGTTCTTTATCAAACCCTGTGATGAAGGTACCCCCAAAATGCCAGGCAGCGGAAGGATTCCAGGAACGTTTATTCCCTGGGCTTACAAGGGAAAATTCCTAACAGTGCCTGAGAAAGACATGCCCCTCTGGTTTTCCTTGGCTTTTATCATCGCTGCCTGATGATGAACATCTGTGAGGGTTTATCTCTGCTCAGACCAGAGGGAGAGAGCCTGGAAGCTTCCTCTGGAATGCAGGAGTTAAAAAAACCATCCAACTATCTTTGAGGAAGGTGCTTCTCCTTGAGCAGGAACCAAGCTCCATCCTCCTGGTTATATATCTTCCTCCAAGGGTATCTGTAGGAGTCGGGTTTCAGGAAAAGGTGTAACTTTTGGTTTTCTATAACAAAAAAAAAAGGGGGGGGGAAGACAGCAGGTAAGACACGATCTGGGTTTGTTGATCCTTACATTCTTCGTGTTGATTCCTTTTCAGAATTTCAAAACAGGTACAGTTGCCAGATTGAAAAACATACAACCAATAACCCCTGCAAAAACCCAAACTACATGATTTAAATAGGGGCATAATAAAAACACCCTTTCCTGAAACCTGACTCCTACAGGTATCTATAATTAAAGCCGCCCCAATCCATGTTTCCCAGGAGGAAGAGCCGGATCCCAGCGACCTCTCGGTGGACCACGACTACTTCCAGGAGCAGCTGTGGCCCCGGCTGGCCCGGAGGGTGCCGTCCTTCGAGTCCCTGCGGGTGCAGGGGTCCTGGGCCGGCTACTACGACTACAACACCTTCGACCATAACGGGGTGCTGGGCCCGCACCCCCGGCTGGAGAACATGTTCCTGGCCGCGGGCTTCAGCGGGCACGGCCTCCAGCACTCGCCCGCCGCCGGCAGGGCCGTGGCCGAGCTGGTGATCCGGGGCCGCTTCGAGAGCCTGGACCTGCGGCGCCTGGGCTGGGCCCGGCTGGAGGACGGGGAGCCCCTGCGGGAGGCCGGCGTGGTCTGATGGGGGCGGGGAGGGGGGACACCGAGGGGCGGCCCTGGCACCCCCTCCCCCGGCTGGATGAGTGTCCTGTAGGAATAAAAGGGGCAGGTGAGCAGTTAATGGGGTCCAGACCTGTCGTGCTGCCTCCACCAGCACTGCCAGTATCCTCAGTTGCAGTGTCCCCATTATGCCCCCCCCAGCTTCAGTGTCCACATTGCCCCCAGTATCCCCACTATGTTCCCATATCCCCCAGTCTCAGTGTCCCCAGTATCCCCCCAGTGTCCTTATTATGTTCCCATACCCCCAGTCCCAGTGTCTCCAGTATCCTCCCAGTATCCCTCATTCCCCGCAGTATCCCCATATTCCCATACCCCGAGTCTCAGTGTCCCCAGTATCCCCATTATGTTCCCATACGCCCAGTGCAATGTTCCTGGTATCCCCCCAGTGTCCCCACTACCCCCATTCCCCCCAGTATCCCTGCTATGTTCCCATACTCCCAGTCCCAGTGTCTCCAGTATCCCCCAGAGCCCCTAGCCCCAGTTATCCCTATTATCTCCCCAGTTATCCCCATTATCCCCCACTATTCCCAGTATCCCCCAGCCCCAGTTATCCCCATTATCCCCCACTATTCCCAGTATCCCCCAGCCCCAGTTATCCCCATTATCCCCCACTATTCCCAGTATCCCCCAGCCCCAGTTATCCCCATTATCCCCCACTATTCCCAGTATCCCCCAGCCCCAGTTATCCCCATTATCCCCCACTATTCCCAGTATCCCCCAGCCCCAGTTATCCCCATTATCCCCCACTATTCCCAGTATCCAATCAGCTCTCCCAGTTCCCCCTCCTCGCGTACGTGGCGCCCTCTGGCGGCGGGGCGGCCGCAGCGCGCATGCGCAGCATGGGTAGAGGGGCAATGTGGTAGCGCGGGAACTGGCGCACGCGCAGTACCGGGGAAGGCGCCGCTGCCACCAAAGAGGCGTGGCCACTGGCGGTGGGGCGTGCCTTGCGGCAGGGGGGCGTGGTTACCGAGAGGGGGCGGGGCTTGAGGCAGAGGGCGGGGCCGCGGCAGTGCCCGTGCGCGGCGCATGCGCGGTGGGCGCGGCCGGGCCGTGTGAGCCGGGCCCGTCCCGCCCGTCCGCCCCCGGCCCGGCCCCGGTGAGTGCGGGGGGACCGGGGGGCACCGCCGGGGGGGGACACACGTGGGGACACCCCGGGGACCGCGCGGCAGCCCTGGGGAAACCAGCCCGGAGGGAATCTGGGACCTCCCACCCCACACACACACATGGGGACACTGGGAACAGCCCTGAGGTAAAATGTGCCCCCGCCCGCATTATGGGGTCACACAGACCCCCGGTGGGCGGGAGGGGGTTCTGCCCGTGAGGAACTCCTTAGGAAACCTGCGGGGCGGTTCTGGCCCCGCAGCTCAGGCCCCGCCGGGGTTTGACTCGGAATAACCAAAACAACCCCCTTTTTTTAATAATTATTTTTAATTGTTCGTGCCCTGCGCTGCGGCGGCACCACCGACGTGCCGGGGCTTGTGGCTCCGGAGCCGCCGGGAGCTCCTGCCGGGGAGCGGTGAGAGGGCTCAGTCCTGGTGGGAGAGCACGAGTGTTTTCCCTTGATTCCCTTGTTTTTATTTCTGTGGTGCTTTCCAAGAGCTGTTCCGCAGACCCCGTGGAATGAGCGGGACGGGTCCACTCCCAGGCCCTTCGGAGGAGGGTCGGAGGGCCGGGAACGCCGTGAGAGGTCACCAGGGTTCGATTTAAGCTCTAATTCCCGCTGTGTTCGCTCCCCGCAGGCTCCACCTGTTTCCCGTCTCTCCAGGATGAGAGAGGCCTGGGCCCGGCTCTCCCCCTCTCCCTGTAGTTGATAGTTTGGGAAGCAGAGGTGATGCTGGAGTCGAGATGGCCGACAGCGTGAGAACCTTCCTTCATGACCTCGTCAGGGTGAGCTCCGCGTCCCGTCCCCTCGGGAGCACCTTCCTTCCCAGGGCGCCCGGGAACTGAAGGAAAAGGGGCTCCAGGTGTATTTTAACACCATTGTTTGGTGTGTCTGTTGCTGCTGAATCTCTGACAGGTTTCCCGTGGGCACAAATTAGTGTATAGTATGTTGTTGTTATCATACTGATTTTCGTTATTAAAATGTATAATACATATAAAGTGTATAACACATATAAAATATAAAATATACATGAAGTATATAAATATTATATATATAATATATTAAATATAATATAAACAAAATATATATTGTATGAAATATATACTAAATCTAGAATATATATATAAAATATAATATAAATAAAATATAATATAAATAACATATAATATAAATAACATATAATATAAATAACATATAATATAAAAAAAATATAATATAAATAAAATGTGTAATATATACACAATATATGATATAGATGAAATATAGAATATATAAAATGGAATATAAATAAAATGTATAGTATATACAAAATACATGATACATATAAAATATAGGATATAAATGAAATGTATGATACATGTAAAATATATAATATATATGAAACATACTATACATTTCATATATACTTTACATTTATAATATATAAATACTCTATTGATATATGTTAATGTATACATTATGTTAATATTACAGTTAATATATTAGAGTTGACTATATTTAATATACAAAAAGTATTATTACTGATACTGTTATGTAATATGTAATACATTATAATTATATATAATATATGTTATATTATATAATATATATCATATATTTCATATTATAATATAATATATATTATGTTATATATACTATATAATATATATTATATTTTAATAATATATTAACAATACATTATAACTGTTATATATTAATAATATATAATATAATATATATGATATTATATATTAATAATATATTATAACCATGACCATGGCAGCTCTGTCCCAGCAGTAAGGTCTGTGTGAACTCGCTGCTCCCACCCTGCCTTCCATCATCCAGGGGTAAATACAGCCTTAAAAACTGTGCTGTGACACTGAGCACCAGCTCGTGTCCAGAGGTAACTTGTGTTGGGAAACTCGCTGGGTTTGGTCAGACACCTGTGGTGGGAGGAGTTGTGTCCTTTCCTGGTGCTCCCGCACCATCTTCCCAACGTGGAGTAAAGCAAAACTTCTGGGCACACTCCTAGTAACAGGTTTGCAGTGATGTGGCTGGTGGGAGGATGTTTCTGGGGCGAGGAGAGATGCTTTTATTTGTGAAGGAATGAGCATCAAACCCATACGTACAGTCAGACTTTGCACATCCCAAATAGTTGTGTAATTCCACTTTATTGGCCTCAAAGTGCTGGCAGGGGATGAGGGTCCTCCTGCCAGACAGGGCTGGGAGAGATCCGACTCTCTGGCTTCTGCCAGGGTTATAAATAGTGCAGATTGGAAGAGAAATCACACCTTTACAGAAGAATTCCTGCTGCTCCTGGAGATGCTGGACTGAGCAGTGATTTAGGTCACCAGGCCATGGAAAGAGGTGGTGTTGCTGCTCCAGGCCTTGGCTCCGGCTGAGCCGGGTGCTGCTTAGCCAGGGAGCTGGGCCAGCCATGGAACCAGGAGGGCTCTGATGGCACATCCCATTCCTCCTCTCTCCTTGTGCTGCAGGGAATTAAGGACTCCATCTGGGGCATCTGCACCATCTCCAAGCTGGACGCCCGGATCCAGCAGAAAAGGGAAGAGCAGAGGCGCAGGAGAGCCAACAGCGCACTGGCCCAGCGGAGGTTTCACATGGAAGAGAAGAAGCAAGAGAAGTGAGTACAGGGCCCAGCGAGTCAGAAATGGGGTCATTCCCTTCTCCTCTGGTAGCCAGAGCCAATAAATGGGAAAAAGGTGGCGTGAAACTTCCTTTTTCCACTGCATAATGGAGCTGGAGCTGGAGCTGTGAGATAAGAAGTCGGACCTTTTATGTTTCATAATTAGCTTGAATTGCCAGTGGAAGGTGTGGAGCTGTGCACACTGAAAGAAAGTGGATTTATGGGTTTCTTTTCCTCCTGAATCCTCGTCCTGCCTCAGATCCATTGTTTTTTCTGGTAGTCATGAGATCAGGGAAGAAGCAGCAGCTCAGATCCATCTCTTTTCCCCAGGCCTGCGGCGTGTGGAGCTGCAGAATCTCAGTGGCTCTGGAAATGCCAGAATTATCTCCACGTGGGAGCAAAGAGCATCTGTTCCCATGTCTGACTCCCAAACTGCTCTGGGAAGTGTCTGTGCTGCCCTGATTACACTGGGCTGGCACCTCACACGGTGGTTTTGGGAACATCTGAGACACTTCCCAGTTTTTCTGCCTAGCTGGGTGGTAGGCTGGCTGAAAGGGGAAAGAAAAGTCTCCCTGGATCCCAGTCCTCCCTAGGGCTTCACACATGGGCTGCCCCTGAGGAATAATATAAATTTTAGGGGCACTAAACAGCTAAATTTTGCTGGTTTTCATTGTAACAAAGTCCCTTTGGTAGCAGGAGCTGACTGGGAAAGTGCTGCAGAGTCTCACAGAGCTGCTCTTGTGTGTCCAGATAGTGACACCAAAACCACCCTGAGCTGAAACAGTCTCTGCTGAGACCAAAGAACACCCAAAACTCCCTAATTTTATTGTGGCAAGAGTTTAAGGAGAATGATGCCTGAGATCTCCAATAAATGCTTAAAAATCTGGAAGAAAGCTTTGCTTTTCTTCTGTTTCAGTGCAGATTGTGGGAATTAATAAAGGCTGAAAGAGTCTCCCTGATGTAAATCTTGTAGAGAGCTGGTGTGAGTCTGCGTGGGGATTCCTTCTGGGATTCCCCTGTTTGGATAAAATCAGGTGCACCACTGTCGTGGAGCTGGTTCTTGGGGACATTTCCAAGGTGTCCCAGGTGTGGGGCAGAGGCTTTGTCCAGGTGCTGGGACATTAACAGGTCTCTCTCCTGCAGTGAACCCCGGATAGTGAGCCGGATATTTCAGTGTTGTGCCTGGAACGGAGGTGTCTTCTGGGTACGTGGAGACTTCTTATTGTTTGTGTTTTATTTTAAAACCTCTGTGAAAACCCATGTCCTGCTCCAGCCCTCATGCTGAGAGCTGTTGGTGTAGCAGCAGGAATTGCTGGATGTTCCCATCCCAATGCTG